TTTTTTTCCTAGTCTTCCCCGCCGCACTAAGGCCGGATCTAAATTTTCGTAATTATTAGTGGCGATAATTATAACGGAGTTAGGGTCTTGAACATTGTTTTTTAAGCCAGCCGCATCTTCGGTAGTAGACAAGAAATTTTTCCAATCTTCTAATAAATTATTCTTTTTTCCTCCACCACCGGCGGTCATAACATTCACTCCTTGGTCGGCTTCTTCGACAAAAACAATATACGGTTTATCCGAATAAGCATCACCAAAGGCTTCTTTTTTTAATTCTTTTAAAATGGCAATTAATTTTTCGTGGCTTTCTAAACCTTTATCATTAATAGCTTTGCCGGCGGTTTGTAAATGAAAGCCGTCAATTTGAAAGACTGGCACTAACTTACTTTCCTCTTGGCTTAGTTGCTGTTCACAATCCTGGATAAGATTTTTCAGTTCTTCTATTTCAACTTTTAATTGCTCACTTTCCGGATCATTAATTAATTGCTCTTGCTTTTTAACTAAATCTTCGTTGTATTCATTTATTTTTTTTTCACTCTCGGACTGGTATTTGGTGGCAATTTCAAAAACTAATTGGCGGGGAAATTCTGACTTTCCCGTACCGGCCATGCCGTAAAGAATAGTATTGCGGCGAGTAAAACGGCTACTATAATTGTCTTGTTCTTCATCTTTGTGAGTATAAACTTGACCGGCATTAATTAGGTCATCAATATCTTCTAAAATCGCAGTAAAATGTTTTTTGATTACTTCCGGGTAAACTAAATTTCCGGGTCCGACTGTGGTTAGCCCTTTAATTCCCAAAGGTGGATCCATTTTGGTAATGTCTAAAATTTTTCCTTTATCTCTTCAGTTAGGACCGGATAAGCGGTCTAATTCTGCTTCTTGTAGTCTTTTTTCCCGGTCTTCTTTTTCCTGCTGCTTGCGTTTTCTTTCTTCTACTTCTGCACCGTGTTCAATTTCTAATCTTTCTTGGTTGGTTTTACTATTTTTCCAAGCAAAAAAAGCCTGTATTCCTAGTATTGTTAAGCCTAAAATTACCGCTAAAGCAATTAACCAACCAATTATTTTTTTAAAGAAATTTAGCATATTATTCTTGGAATTTCTTCTTAATAACTCACCAAATTAAAAATAATCCTAATAATCCTCCGGTAATTAGCAAAGCATTTTTGCCGGTCTCATGGGGGATAAAACCTAAATATTTTTTTGCTTCCGGTTTTTCCGGAGTCGGTTCATTCTTCTTTCACTTAAAAAATGTCCCTTTGCCGCGAAATATATTCTTGACAATGTTGGTTAGTTCGTCATTTTTTTCTTGGCTATACAAAGAATAAACGGGATCTTTTTTTAATTCACTTTGTAAATTTTTAATTTCTTGGTTTTTTT